GACTGTGTATCCCTGTGAGTGTCACTGTGTGTGTGACTGTCTCTCCCCGTGTGCGTCACTATGTAAACTCTTTTCTCTCTTTCTGTGTCTGACTGTCTGACCCCTCCACTTCCCTCTCTGCGACTTTTCCCCTCCCTGCCTTCTCTCCCCTGCTGACTGGGTCACTTTCTGTCCCTATCTCCCTCCTGCTGCAACTTCATTTCTCTCGCCAGTGTGTATGACCCCATACCAGTGTGTCGCCCTGTCTCTCTCTCAGACTGTCTCTTCCCCTGTGTGTGTGTGTCACTGTGAACCTAATCGTCTGAAATTGTTCGGGGCGGTTTCTCCCTTTGCAATTTAATGCAGTGACGTACGGTAGTGGGCCGGTATTTCAGCGCTCACTTTATTATACAGTGTGTTCCAGCTAAAGGAGACTTCACTCAGATTCTCACTCACAGCAGGAGTCGAAACCCAGAGAGAGGGGGCTGTCAGGGAAGGCTTGGTGATAGAACCCATAGACAATTCAGCAGTGAGTGAGAGAGAGACACACACACACACAGAGGGAAACTGTGATCCCTTTGAAATTCACTGAGAACTGAGTGTCTGAAGCGAGATTTAGAACTTGAAGTGGATTTCAGTCTGAGAATCCTGAGGGTGCGGAGGGTGAGAACCATTCCCCGCCTCAGGAGTGAGGAGGGAACTGATAGGAAATGAGCTGGGCTCGGTTTGGAGGGAGTTGTGTCTGAGTGTGAGCTTTTCACTTGGCCCGTGGCAGTGTGTTCCCAGGCTGAGTTGCTGAAGATGCTGGCGCTGTGCGTCTCTCCTTCTGCCATCGTCCTCCTCTCCTTTACCTTCTGTCTGCACAGGTAAGCGCAAAATCGCACCGTCCCGGGACCTCCTCGTTCGTTAATCAACGGAGACTGTGCCCGTGCCAAACCCTTTTGTTAAAACCCCGCTCGGATGTAACCATAAATGTAATGCATGCAATTTCTCTTGTCATCATCTGAGCTGTTTTGCTTTTCTTGAGTTGTTTGAATTTCATCTGAATCATTTTTCCACTTAAATTTTTTTTTAATAAAAAAACTGCAGTCAACAATAACTCCCGTCTATAGTATTGGCTGCAGAGTATTTGTAAATTTATTTGGAAAAATTACCTCCCCACATTACACAAGGAGAAACTCAGAAAGTCAGGTAGCATGGAAGTTAGCTTTCAGACTCTCATGGAATTCAATTCTATTATTACGACGTGGATTGCCCCCTCTCTCCCACTTTGCCCCCCAGTTTAGTGTCACTGCTGGGGGGGGGGGGGAGGTTACATTTAATACAATAAGGAACTGTGGATGCTTCAGATCTGAAACAAAAGTAGAGATTACTGCAGGAACTCAGCAGGTCTGGCAGCATTTGTGCAGAGAGAAACAGATTTAACGTTTCCAGACCAGTTCTGAGGAAGGTTAACTCTGTTTTCTCACAACAGATGCTGCCTGTCCTGCTGATTTTCTCCTGCAATTTCTCGGGTTTTAATTCGGATTGGGTTTGAAGAGGAAGAGATTGTTTCTTCCCCTGATGGACAACTTTCCAAGGCTTCAACAGTGAAGTGAATACTCAGATTGAAGGGGTGCAATACTCCTGTTAGCAGGGACTCCCAGCCCTGCATCCCCCCTCCCAAACCGTAGTTTAAAATGCAACAGGGACTTGGTCACTCCGGGTCCCTTCACTGGATCCCAGGATCCCCCGACAGTCTGACTCTTTGGCCATGTAGATGGAGAGGGTCCACTTTGACCATGTGGCTGGGGTCTCTTTGACCATGTGACTGGGGTGACCCTCTGGCCATGTGACTGGCGTGTCCACGCTACACGTGGAGAAACGCAGTCCGCTCGGCCCGTAGCGCCTGTGCTAGCCAGTCCTTACTGACCCATGCAGAGGTACAATACCTTCTCCAACGCCGCTTCAGGCACCATCTCGCTCTCTCAGAGATGGGGTTGAGAAACCCTCACCCTCGCACTTATCCCTTACCCTGGGGAATACCCTGTCCATAAACATCTCCAAGCCATCCTTCACTGTGAATTCTATATTCACCGTATCGCGGGCTCTCAGATCCTCACTAAGAGATTCTGTTGCCCAGTTTTTGGATGTGTAAAGTGAGGGAAACCAGCCTCTTAAACCGTGCACCCATTCGCATTCGTTACTTTAGCGCGGCTTATTCCTGTTCCTTAATTCCGTTTGCCGACCGGGTGAGCGGGGTGGACGTTTTAGCTGAAGGCATTCCATTGGAGTTCCTCTCAATTCTTGCTGCTGTCTTCCCTATTTTACAAATACCAACGTTAGAAACTGGGTAATACGCGTGTATGAAATTACAAAAGCTATGCGTCCAAAACTATCTTCAGGGTAATGTTTACCCCTGATTCCCAATCCTCAGCCCATTGTCCACCCTACACACACACACACACTCACACACACACCTCCTCCAGTCTACCATATCACAATGTCATGTAACTTTCCCCAATTCAATCTGTCAATAAAAATCAGCAATTCCCTGCAGTGTCAAATTGCTGCTGGGTTAATGGCTTTCTGAGTTAACCCCTTGGTCACCTGGTTCATCAACCGTGAGCTGGGGATCAGGGTGATGTTCAGGGGACAAGCGCAGAAACTCGCCAGGTCTGGCAGCATGAGAGAAAAAAAGAGTTAACGTCTCGAGTCTAGTGACCCTTCTTCAGAACGTGGATGCTGCCAGACCTGCTGAGTTTCTCCAGCAACTTCAGTTTTTGTTTCAGATTTGCAGCATCCACAGTTCTTTGGTTAATTTTTTTTCTGATGTTCAGATGTTCTATCTCAGAGCAGTCCCCATCCTGCAGTCTATCTCCCAAACCCCTTCCTGCAGTCTATCTCCCAGTCCCCCTCCTGCAGTCTATCTCCCAGTCCCCCTCCTGTAGTCTATCTCCCAGTCCCTCTCCTGCAGTCTATCTCCCAGTCCCCCTCCCCCAGTCCTCTGCCTGCAGTCTATCTCCCAGTCCCCCTCCTGCAGTCAATCTCCCAGTCCCCCTCCTGCAGTCAATCTCCCAGTCTCCCTCCTGCAGTCTATCTCCCAGCCCCCCTCCTGCAGTCTATCCCCCAGTCCCCTTCCTGTCGTCTATCTCCCAGTCCCCCTCCTGCAGTCTATCTCCCAGTCCCCCTCCCCCAGTCCTCTGCCTGCAGTCTATCTCCCAGTCCCCCTCCTGTAGTCTATCTCCCAGTCCCATTCCTGCAGTCTATCTCCCAGTCTCTCTGCCTGCGGCCTATCTCCCAGTCCCATTCCTGCAGTCTATCTCCCAGTCCCTCTCCTGCAGTCTATCTCCCAGTCCCCCGCCTGCAGTCTACCTCCCAGTCCCAATCTTGCAGTCTATCTCCCAGTCCCCCTCCTACAGTCTATCTCCTAGTCCCTCTCCTGCAGTCTATCTCTCAGTCACTCTGCCTGCAGTCTATCTCCTAGTCCCTCTCCTGCAGTCTATCTCTCAGTCCCAATCCTGCGGTCTATCTCCCAGTCCCCCTCCTGCAGTCTACCTCCCAGTCCCCCTCCTGCAGTCTATCTCCCAGTCCCTCTGCCTGCGGTCTATCTCCCAGTCCCCCTCCTGCAGTCTATTTCCCAGTCCCTCTGCCTGGGTCTATCTCCCAGTCCCATTCCTGCAGTCTATCTCCCGGTCCCCTTCCTGCAGTCTATCTTCGAGGTGCTATGGGGATAATGTGGAGGATGTTCAGGGTTGGGGGGACCATTGAGAAGGGTTTCTGGAGAAGATCCCAGTAACATGATTCTAACCACCCTGATGAGACAATTGGACAATGCTATTTTATTTAATTCAATAAAACCAAGAACTGTGGATGCTGGAAATATGAAACAAAAACGGAAATTGCTGGAGAAAATTTGCAGCTCTGGCAGCATCTGCAGAAGGGTTACTTGACTTGAAACTCTTTTTCTCTCTCCACACATGCTGCAAGACCTGCTGAGTTTCTCCAGCAATTTCTGTTTCTGTCTCATGCTATTTTACTTTCCTTGTGGCATTGAGAGAGTGACAGAGTACCGTGGTTTGAATTATACATGGATTTAAACTGTTGTTAGATCATTCTGACACTCAATGGCATTATGTGAAGAGGGTGCATTATACCATCAATGATTACAGGGTAGTTTAATCATCTGCTCCATATCCCATGTTATTAGAATTCTAGGATTAAAGATCCCAGTAGTCAGATCCAAACTATTAGCAACTCCTCTTCCATCTGAAGCAAGGTCACCAGGATTAAAACTGTTTTAATCCAGATGATGTTCTGATCTGTCTAGCTCTCTTGTCCTTGCTCTCTCTCTGCCTCCCTTTACTGTTTATCTGGTCCCTGTCTTGTGTATTGCCACGGCTGTTATAATAAGTCAAATGCTGTTATTTATTGAAGGCGAGTTTGAGATGATTTCCCCCAACATTTGGGAAACAAAACTCCCCACTGCCTCTTCTTTCTACAGGAAAACTGTAAAGCCAGTGGGGCTGCTGAGGTATTAGTAGCTGTCTAATTTCACTGAGTCAGTGTTTGCTTGTGTGTGCATGTGTGTGTATGTGTGTGCATGTGTGTTTGTGTGTGTATGTATGTGCATGTGTGTGTATGTGTGTGCATGTGTGCACATGTGTGTGCATGTGTGTGTATGTGTGTGCATGTGTGTGTATGTGTGCACGTGTGTGTATGTGTGTGTGTGTTTGTCTGTGTGTGCATGTGTGTGCACGTGTGTGTACGTGTGTGTGTATTTGTCTGTGTGTGCGTGTGCATGTGTGCACGAATGTGTGTATCTGTGCCTGTGTGTGCGAATGTGCGCGTGTGTGTGGATGTCTGTGTGTGTGTGTGTGGATGTCTATGCATGCGTGTGTATGTTCATGTGTGTGTAAGCATGTGTGTGTGTGTATATTCCTGTGTGTGTGTTTCTGTGTACATGTGTGTGCGTGTGTGTGGAAGTGTATGTGTGTGTGTATGTTCATGTGTATGTGTGCGTGTGTGTGTCTGTGTGTGTGTGAATGTGTGCGTCTGTGTGTGTGTGTGTGTGTGTGTGTGTGTGTGTGTGTGTGTGTGTGTGTCTATGTATGTGGATGTGTGTGTATGTGTACCATGAAGGACTCTCCTTCTGAATCTCTCCTCTCACCTGAGGCATAGTGACCATCAGGTTAAACCACCACCAGTTGTCTCTCTCTAATATGGTCTGGTAGGGCAATGGCAATTTAACCTTTACTCTTCTGCCAAGTACAAAGTACTTTACTATAAGGCATTTCAGGGCTATGTTCTCCTGGATGATGAAATGATCGGGTGAACGATACTAACTGTGATTCCCCGTTCTGCCAATAGGGTTTGGTGTAACGAAATCCTTGGCCTGAAGATCCCAGTGGATCCCGTCCTGACCGCAAACACCGTGTGCCTCACCCTCTCAAGCTTGACCCGCCGTCAGTTGGAAGTCTGCATGAGGAATCCCGATGTGACAGCTTCTGCCATCCAGGGAATCCAGATTGCCATCCATGAGTGCCAGCACCAGTTCCAGGACCACAGGTGGAACTGCTCCAGCTTGGAGACTAAGAACAAGATCCCTTATGACAGTGTAATCTTCAGCCGAGGTACACAATCATATTGGTACACTTGAGTCTTTACCCACTTTGTTTTCCATTTATAAGAATTCTTTCACAGGATTTGGGGATGAGCTGCATTTAGTGCCCATCCCTAATTGCCCTCGAATTGAATGGCTTTCCTGGGCTGTTTCGTAAGAGGCAGTTAAGAGTCAACCACATTGGCCAGGGTCTAGTGTCTGTAGCTGAATACGTGGGAGTGGGGAGGTCAGTTAGCTCACTTTCTTGGATCGCTGTTATGCCAACAGTGTAGGTTCAATTCCCACACAAGCTGAGGTTGCCAAGAAGAAGTCTCATCCTCGGCTGTCCCTCATCTGAGGTGTGGTGGCCCTCAGGTTAAACAACCCTCAGTCATCTCTCTCTATCGACAAAGCTTGATAACCCTATGGTGATTTATCTGAATGAATTGATCTCGTGTCAACTGCTGGTTAGCCTGTTACTGCAGCAATCTCAAAGCTATCATTAAATAATACAGGAGGCCATTTGGCCTATCAAGTGTAACGCAGCTCTTTCAAGGCAATTTAGTCCCAATTCCTGCTGTTTTTTCAATTCATTCACAGGATGAGGGCATCGCTGGCTAGGCCAGCATTTATTGCCCATCCTGAATTGCCCAGAGGGCAGTTAAGAGTCAACCACATTGCTGTGAGTCTGGAGTCACATGTAGGCCAGACCAGGTAAGGATGGCAGTTTCCTTCCCTAAAGGACATTAGTGACCCAGATGGGTTTTCTCCCCCCAACAATTGTCACCTTAGATTCTTCCAGATTTTTATTGAATTCAAATTATACCCTCTGCCATGGCAGGATTTGAACATGGGTCCCCAGAACATTGCCTGGTCTCTGGATTAACAGTCTAGCGATAATACCAATAAACCATTGCCTCCCCTTGCCATCTTATTGTCATCTTTTCTCCCACAAGTAACTATTCAGTTCCCCTTTGAAAGTTACCATTGTGTCTGCCTCCACCACAGTCTCAGGTAATCTACAGTCCAAATCCTAACCAGTCTTTAAGTAAGAAGGATTTTGCTTGTATGATGATCCAACCAAATGGAAAAGAATGAAACCTGCCTTTACCGATCATATGGAGTTTTTCTCGGTTTAATTACTTAATGTGGTCATTAGTCACTGAGACATATTCACACAAAGCTTCGGATTTTCTTAAACAATAGAAGTTTATTACACAAATGAATTAAGAATACAAACAAACTAAACTATCTAAGCGTTGACTACAGCAAGATCTAAAACATACAATGAAACAAAATGTCAACTGGTTTTCCGATAGTATTTGTCACAGAGATGCAAGTCTAAAGAAATTGAACACTATATCGCAACTGTTAAGGGTTTCACTTAATTGACTCCTGAAAGTTTCAAACTGTGGAACCAATTCAATGAATCTAGATCTACAGCTGTGATCTGATTCACAAAACTAAGAGCCTAAATTTTATCAGTTTTAATAATCTACTGGTTTCTACTCAAGTTTTCCTGGATTGGAAGTTTCATATTTTAAATCATTCTGCTGAGATAACTTATCCTCTGAACAGATCTGAATCCTTCTTGTGAAGGAGAAATTAAACTGACTTCCAAACTCTACACAGGAATTGTCTGAACTGAAATGAAAAATGTGCTTCTGAACTGAATTAAAATAAAAATCTTGACCATCCCAGACCCTGCAAAACTGAAAACGAATCGACTGGCTTTACATGTTTACTCCACCTGTTGCATACCCAACAGTGTAAACATCTATTAACAAACATCATAGACATTTGCAGTGGCTCTGACAAATATATTCCAAAAGGTTTCCCTGACCTTTTTTGTTACAAACAAAACCTTTACGAAAGTAACCAATGCCCATATGCCACCATTTTGAAATCCAAACTCCAAATTACACGCATATTGCTGAGAAAAGACACATTCTTTCGAAACTTTTCATCTTATGCTCTGAACAGCTTCAACAAAAAATCTTTTTTCTGCAATACTCAAGTTCTGTATTGCTAAATGATTTTATCATTAGAATCCCCTACAGTGTGGAAACAGGCCCTTTGGCCCAACAAATCCACACTGATCCTCAGAGCATCCCACCCATACCCGTCCCCTAATAACCCACCTAATCTACACATCCCTGAACACTATGGGAAATTTAGCATGGCCAATCCACCTGATCTGCACATCTTTGGACTGTGGGAGGAAACCCACACATGCACAGGGAGAATGTGCAAATTCCACACAGACAGTCACCTGAGGGTGGAATTGAACCCAGGTCCCTGGTGCTGTGAGGCAGCAGTGCCAACCACTGAGCCACTGTGCCGTCCCATATATGAGCAATTCACCTTTCACCTTAGTGTAACATCTAATCGCTTTATCTCTATGCCCTCTGCATGACCAAACAAATTAGGAGTAGGATCAGGCCATTCGGCCGTCAAGCCTGCTTGCCATTCAGAATGGTGGCGGCCAATCTAATTGTGACCTCAACTTTATATTCCTGCCTACTCCAGATAACCTTTGACCCCCTTCTAAGTCAAGAATCTGTCTCCTTCTGCCTTTAAACTATTCGGTGACCCTATGTCCAATGCTGCCTTGGGAAATCAATCAGTCAAACTATTTAGTACAGGCCTAAACATTGACTCGGATAGCAGGAGAACTCTCTGACGTGGAATGTTCAGGTCTACCTGAAACAGCAGGCAGGGCCTTGATTTGATGTTGGAGCTGATAAATGGTTCCCTCCATATAGCAATGCAATGTCAGTCTGGCCCTTTAGTGAATAGGGAGCTCAAATCCCAGAGTGGGTCTTGAAGACAGATACAGAGGTGAGAGCATACTGACAGCTAAAGCAACTGTTCTGTTCTTAAGCCGTGTGCTGTTGTACAGACATGTTACACCATGACTTGAAAATCTTTAGTTATGATCACAAGGTCCTATCATCGCAGGCATATCAACATTCACAAATTAATTAGCATTAAGGTCTGACAGTGATTTCAAAGGCCTGGGAGCAAGGAGGCGGAGGATTAGTTGGTGTAGGCAAGCTTGAATTCAGTTTACCTTGTTGGCATGCCAATTTTCTCTCTCTCCCTCCTGGCACACCATAGACATTGAGTTCCTACGGGGCAAGAGTTCTGTACTAACTTGGCACCAACTGGCAAGCCTACTCAGCAAGCTGTTTCAGTTTTAAAACAATGGTGCCCCTTTCACCCACAGGCAAAGCCAGCATTTTTTGCCCTTCCCTAATTACCCTTTAGCTGAGGTGTTTGTAGGAATTGATCTCATTGCTGTGGGTCTGGAGTCACAAGTAGGGCAGCAGATTTTCTTCCTGCAATGCCCCAACCCTCCCTTCCCAAAATGGGAGTCGTGAACCAGACCCACGCCAAATAAGAACATAAAAAAGCATAAGAACTAGGAGCAGGAGTAGGCCATTCAGCCCCTTGAACCTGCTCCAACAATTTAATTTGATCATGGCTGATCTCATCTCAGCTTCAACTCCATTTTCATGCCCGCTGCCCATAATCCTTCAACCTGTTACTAATTACAAATCTATCTATTGCCTCCTTAAAGTTATTCTGTGTCCTGGCATCCACCGCACTCTGGATAATGAGTTCCACAGATTCACAAGCCTTTGACAGAAGTAGCTTCTTTTCATTCCTGTTTTAAATCTGCTACCTTCTATCCTAAGTCTATGATCTCTCATTCTAGATTTTCCCACAAGGAGAAACATCTACACTACGTGCACTTTGTCAATCCCCTTTAACATCTTATGTACCTCAATTAGATATCCTTTCATCCTTCTAAATCTAGTGAGTATAGACCAAGACTGCTCAAACTCTCTTCATAAGAGAAGCCTCTCAACTTTCGAATTGATAATTGCACGGTCACCATTAAACAAATGAGCTTTCAAAGCCAGGATTACCGCAGTCAGATTCAAATCCACATCCCCAGTCTACGAACCTAGCCCAGTGGATTACTGTGTACCACTGTCGGCTCTATGCAGAGAGGAGTACAGTTTCTGTCTTCAAGACCAGAGGATAGATGCTCACTTTAAATGGCACTTGACTCTGCAGTGAGCTGTCAAAGAAACATGCTTTACTTTCTAGAGCCAATGCTGCTCGTCCTAATGAGCATGAAATATTAATCAGAAAACGTGTTGAATGAAGGGGTAAGTGTATGCAGTGGAAGAGAAAATCTACAAGCACTTCAGGTGCACTGGCCCATGATGTGTTCAGTGAACATATATTTTCAACACAGCATCTTGGATAAGTGGCAGGAACTAAACAAGATAATTATGAAAGGCAGGGGCTGCAGTATTTTACATGCTCACCTATACCACTAGATTGTGAGATTAGTGCTGCTATATGTGTTGGCTTGATATTTTATCTTTCAGCAATTGATATTAGGTTACATCAGAATTGCATTTACAATAACCATATTTCCATTTTACCCACAACTGGGAAAACATTTCTTAAGAATTTAGACTGAATAATAAAGATATGGAATAAGTTCATCCACTTTATTTACACTTTCAGAATAAATCACAGGCAAGGCCAATTTTTATTGACCATCCCGAATTGCCCTTGAGCACAGTGGCTTGTCGGGACATTTCAGAGGGCAGGTACCTACGCTGCTGTGGCTCTGGAGTCACATGTCGGCCAGACGAAGTAAGGACATAAATTTCCTTCCTCAAAGACACTCATGAACCAAAATCAAAAACAGAAATTGCTGGAGAAGCTCAGCACGTCTTTCCACATCTGTGGAGAAAAAACAGAGTTAACATTTCAGGTCCAGTGACCCTTCATAGAGTCATTGAGTCATAGAGCTGTACAGCATGGAAACAGACCCTTCGGTCCTACTTGGTCCTCCCTGCCACTTTCTGAATGGGGCCAGGGGATTGTTTATATCTGTCTGAGAGAGAGGAGAGAGCCTCAGGTTAACTGCTCCATTTGAAAGCTGCCAGCTCCAACAGTGTAGCGTTCCTTCAGAGCAGCAACATGGTGTCAGCCTTGATTTGC